GGTATTTCAATGTTAGGAATGCTCTTTAAAGATCCTATAGGTGATTGTCTCTGTCTGTGGGATCAGAGCAAATCCGGTTGTATCTTAGGGCTTGGCTGTATACAATGGACTGAGAAATATGTCTGGGATGGAAGCTGGAGGCATGAAGGTAAGTGTAGCGGTTGGTGGGTTTCCAGTATAGGGTGGTGGAAATTTGTCCATTATTTCATATTTCATATTTAGTCGTTTTGCCCTAGTAACTTCCTGCAGTTACTTCCCTGGGCACTCATTAATCTGGTCTAGGTTGAGGTTGATGGTAGGGTGGAAGTTGTTGAAATCCTTGTGAAATTCTTCAAGAGTCTCTTTTCCATGGGTGCATATGATGAAGATATCATCGATGTAGCGTAAGTAAAGTAGGGGTGTTATGGGGCGAGAGCTGAAGTAACGTTGTTCAAGGTCAGCCATAAAGATGTTGGCATGTTGTGGTGCCATGAGAGGGCCCATGGCCATACCACTGACTTAGAGATAGAAATTGCCTCTGAATTGGAAGTAATTGTGGGTGAGGACAAAGTTGCAGAGCTCTGTAATCAGGCGTGCAGTGTTATCGGGGATGGTGTTCCTGATGGTCTGTAATCTGTCTTCATGTGGAATGTTGGTGTAGAGGGCTTCTGTATCCATGGTGGCCACCATAATATTTTCAGGAAGATGACTGATGTTTTGAAGTTTCCTCAGGAAGTCAGTGGTGTCACGGAGGTAGCTAGGAGTGTTGGTAGCATAGGGTCTGAGGAGGGAGTAGATATATCCAGATAATTCTGTGGTGAGTGTGCCAATGCTTGAGATGATGGGCCGTCTGGGATCACCAGGTCTGTGTATTTTCGGTAGCAGATAGAACGTTCCTGGTCAGGGATTAGGGGGGGATGTTAGTGTAAATTAATACTATCGATTGACTTTGATTCTTATCTACTTCGTTTTAACTACCCAATCTTCAGATACTTACTGATTCCCTCTACCTTCCTGATTTTCTATGTCCTCTGCTCCCTGTCTCCCACTCGCATCATTTTCTCTCTCCTTCCTTCTGTCCTATTTATTTTGAGTCGGCACATCCTAAACTCAAAACTCCGGTCATCTGAAGAAGTGAGCTATGCCCACGAAAGCTCATGATACCATCTGCATGTTTTGTTCGTCTATAAAGTTCTACCAGACCATTGTTGTTACGTTTTATAGGTAACCTCAGCATTATAACAGTTTCCTATGTGCTTAATTTTTATATACTGGGAGTACAGGTTGAACTTCTCTAGTCTGGTAACATCCATGCGCTGGCATGGTTTATTTCCTGCAGTCCCATAAAATTGGTTTAAGCCACCCGTCCTGGCTCTTAATGGTCTGCGCTGGCTGTTGTTTAGCTATATTTTACCCCTAAATGTTTTCTAAGAGCCGAGTAAGCAGTGGAAGTGTTGGTAATTCTGCTAGACAATATTGATCTCCTGTGCTTTGACAAATTCTCTGGTTTAGTAGATGTCAGGTCCCAAGGGTGCCGGATTACAGCGGTTCAACCTGTACTTCCATTAAGTCCAGTTCGACTGTTTAGTGTATGATGCACAATATTTAGGTAGGGTGTTTTTTGTGGGATACAAGCCTAACTGCAGATGCTGCCAGCTTCTTGAACTTATGTACACAAGCCCATAGCAAATATCAGTTTCTGTAAGGTTCTTTATGAAAATCAAAGTTGTTTGGCTAATAGAATTAAATGCACTAATTCATATACATTTACCTGATGTTGCTCAGATCTTTAACTCAATTTCATATACTTTACTAGCACATTTACCTGATGTTGCTCAGATCTTTAACTCAATTAAGTTTTTTCATTTTCCCCTTCCTTTCCTGACTGTGATGAAGGGGAATGGTCAGCCATGTCCCCATACGAATCTAGGGGAAAGGAGCTGCCCCTCCCCCCCGCCTGCTTCCCTAAAGGGTGCCTGGAGGGTGGGAAGCTCGGGTCTGGGGCAGGGAGGGAGGCTTGCTCCCAGCCAGCCCCTTTCACCTGTCTATCTTTTTTCTATATGGTTTTTATGAGAAGCAATCCCGTTTTCCTGGCACAACTAAACTCTTATCTTGCTTTAAGTTATAAGAGGAAGCTGTATACAGGCAGTCCCCAAGTTACGCGGATCCGACTTACGTCGGATCCGCAGTTACGAACGGGGCACTTCCTCTCCCTGGTCTCGAGCAGACCAGGGAGAGGAAGCAAAGCGGCGGCGGAACGCGCGGCCAGCTGACAGCCCAGACGCGTCTGGGCTGTCCCGCTGCCCCCGTGCTCCGCGGCTTTGCTCCGGCCGCCTGTGGTACAGCAGCTGGGGCGCTGCCGGTTGGTCCCGTAGCACCGCTCTGGGTGCCACTGGACCAACCCAGCAGCACCCCAGCTGCTCTGCCCCAGGTGTCCCCTAGTCAGCAGCTGCTGAAAATAACAAGTGGCTG